AGCTCACTTGGTAGCCCAGGCTGGCCTCGAACTCACAGAGATCCACCTGGCTCTGCCTCCCGAGTGCTGGGATTAAAGGCGTGCGCCACCACCGCCCCTCACCAGCCTTTATACTCTTTTCTTTACCATTTCTCATGACTTTACCATTAGGATAAATAGTAGCAAAACTTGGCAGTGAAACTAGTTCTGTCTGAATGAGGAAAAACAAAACATTGCTCACAGACTAACAGGAAAGTCACTGCTACAAAAACTACTATCTAGCAAAAACTACCAACTTTACCATCCGACACAGATGTATTAGTTACTGGTCACAAACTGAGTATCTTATGTAAAAAAACAAAAAGCCAAACAAAACAAAACAATGCTATGGAACCTTGAAGAAATAAAACAGCAAGTAACTAAAGAGTCTTCATTTGAGAAAAGGCTGGAAGGCCATTTCTAGTTTGCTCCCGATTGTAGTACTGAAGGAATGTTACACAGTTGCAGTGGAGATGAACACCTTTAGCTGGTATAGGCTCTAGAGACTACTGCCACTATGGTACTAGACATGAAAATACTCAGTATTATTTACAGTTAACACATGCATTTTAAAGACACACAGCTGCACCACTGACACCAACTCCCTCAAACCACCAGTCCTGCTCTTCATTAGGCCTTCCATGTTAAGAAGTACATATTCAACACGGAAGAGGAACAAAGAATTCTTACAATGGCACTAGCATTAATTTTCTTATCATCTCTGTTGCTGTTTTTCAAATAATATGTTTGATCATATTATACAAATACAGGCTACCAAACATAAAGGCACTAAAATATTGTTACATAGTGCAGATCCATACTTAACAGAAATAATATGCTCCTGTCCCCTACTGGGAATTTACAATCTGCAGTTCAGAAGCACATGAGCTCCATGATAGTTATAAATATGGCCCAACACAAAAGTGTAAATTGTGTTAAAAAGTTGTGATTTTTTTTTCATTTTTAAAAACTCACTGCATGGTACTTGAGCATGAACTTTGCCAATGACAACATTGTGTCACAATGTCAAAAGGATGGACTCACCTCCATGTAGTTCTCTCAGCTATCAAGACTACAATAAGTAATGTAGAACTATTGTAATGAAGGAAATGGGAGTTTAGACCCGAGATTTAAGGTAGACATCAGATTCTGGTATACCAAAGGGTCAAGAATACTATTATATTTCCTGTATTGTAGATCAAGGTTTTGTGGGTTACATGGGAATAGTCATGGTGACTATTTTAAGAAATGTATAGTGAACTGAGGCTGTAGCTGAATGGTACCTGCTTGCTTAGCAAAAGTGCCTCCCCAGTTGTATGAATTTCAAATTGGGCACAAAATAGTGAAAGTTTTAGGTGTGGTGGCGCAAGCCTTCAATTCCTACACTTGGGAGGCAGAAGCAGATGGATCTCTGGGAGTTTGAGGCCAGCACTGTCTATATAGGTTAACATTCTAAGCTAGCCTGGGCTACGTAGTGAGACCCCGTCTTAAAAGAGCAAAACAACAGTTAAATGTAACGGTAAAATCAATATCCTAAGAGTTCTGTCTTAGGACCCCAGGCTTAATCTGCAGCACCTTAAATAATGACAACAACAGAAAGCCTTAACAAAAGTACAGTTTTACAACTTTTTGGAAAAGTAGCAGTCATATTTTAGAAATAACATCTCTATAACTAAAGAGTCTTTGCAATTAGAAGTTTTTATTATCTCAATTCTCTTTGCCTCATAGTAATCTTAAGCTTTTGAAATTCTCTGTGCAATAAATTTTCAGAGGAACTACAGCAAATACACTTACAATTTCACTACATTAAAACTCAATTCCTAAAAATAAACTAGAAACAAAAAGTTGGGGTTATATATTTATTTCCCACTTACGTCAAATTAAATTTAAAATTAAACTGCCAAGTTGAAGTTCCTGGAGGGTATTCTCCTTGCTCATTCATAAATGTCAGTCCTAGCTGAATTATCTTTAACAAGTCTACATTACATCGCAGTAGTTGGTATTGGTAGTCAGCATTGCTCCTGAATTCTCCAATGGGCCTTGCAACAACACCTGGAAACTCGGTGTCCTGTAAAATAATTTTGAGATTCATTATTTACTAAATGGTTATAAACAGACTCCATAAACTCTCAGGATAATTTCTGAGGCAAGTCAGAGAATTCTATTACAATGATATTCTGTATGTCCACACTCAATTATTAGGTATTCTTTAAGTACGAAGAGTATTACTTTTTAGATCCCAAAATTTTATAAACTTAACTACATTTTCTTAGTTTAAATTTGTCAATAAATTATTACCTTGTACAGATAACTCATGATAAACTCAAGCAAATATTTGCTTCATATCCAAGGAAAAGAAAACTTATACAAAGAATGTCAAGATTCCCACTCCCTCTAATAGGCTGTTATTATTTCTGTACTGCAGCTATTCCATATCATCCAAAAAATAATGACAACTAGGAATTTCTGCTGTCTATAAAATAACCCTCCCTGCCCAAACAGAAAGTTTCAGTCCTAATTATGAAAAAGTACACCTTTATTACATAGGTAATGAGTGTCTATGTATAGATATTCCTGTTTTAAGCAAGCATCCTGTTCATTCTCAGAGAAGCACTTTTTTTTTTTTAAACTTGTGATACTAAGAAAATTAAATTATATTTTAGTTTGGCATGAGAATTCAAATTAAGGCCAGTTAAAAACAAAAATGAAATAGCAAGTCAATATTAAACAGCAAAGAAATCAAAACTTCTTGAATTTAGTACAACCACCAGCCAATTATTAGATTCTATAATCATGAAACTAGACGTGAGTGGGGCTGGGAACAGAAGTGGAAGACACTAAAGTACTGCTTTCTAGAGCTAATAATCGAGTGGATCTAGAACACAAAAAGTAGCTGTAACAGATACACAGAGTGCAGTAACAAGGCTGAAAGTAGCTGTGCACTCTAAGCAGACCGAACACCACCTATAAGAATGGAGTTGTTTAACAACCTAGTGCGTTTCTGCAGCTTTAGCAGTGTTTTCCTAAGAGATCTAATTGGGGTTTCCTTTGTTTGAAAAAGATACTCCAGAACTCACTGGCTTCTGAAACCTTATCTGGTACTAGTAGCACGGCCTTGGGCTTGCTTAGAACTAGCTGACATTCTTAAATGGGCTTTAGTGTTCTCCTGTTGAATGTAATCAGTTTCACAAAATTTCAACATCAGACAAGTATACTCTGTAACTATGTCCCAACAAAGACAAAAAAAAATTGTGTAAACCATAAAAATGATTAAGTTTCTCAAGCTAGCTAATGCCCTCTGCAGCCTTGATATCACCCTTGTCTTCTCTGCAGCTAAGACTCAGTAAGAACCCACAGGAATACCAGCCTCCTGAGAGCATCCAATCCACACAAAGCCTGTCTCCTGTAAGCCCTTAAAACCACCTGACACAAGCCCAAACCCTAAAGTATTTCTAAAACTTTTATTCAGATGCTCTTGACTCCTAATCCCTTGTCAATTAATGTAACAAACTCAACCTGTCAAATACAGGCTTGTTTCTGACGGGCTTTGCTGGAGGGACTAAGAAATTTTTTTTCATGATTAAATTAATCCCTTGATATCAATAAAAAGGGTTTAATTCAAGATTTCTTAAATCCCACTTCAGGGCCCGGAGAAAGAGTTCATTTGGTAAAACGCTTGGCATGCAAACCAGAGGACTGGTTTTCAGTCCCTAGAGTCTATGTTTTTAAAAGTGCATGGTCCATGTGCTTGTAATTTAAGTGCTTGGAAAGCAGAGGCAGGTGAATCCCTGGGGCTTCCTGGCCAGACAGCCTCGTTTAATCAGTAAGCCCCAGGCCAGTGAAGTAACGTACACACACACACACCAGGCCAGTGAAATCACACACACACACACACACACACACACACATACACACATGCAAGTACAAAATTCGCACTTCACCCTCACAAAAGGCATTTTAAAGATTTAGTCAGGTCCATACCATAGCAACATAATTATATTTTCGGATAACTTGACGAATTTTCTTCATCTCTTCATCCAGGTTACAAGCCCAAACTTCACAAATTCTTTGGCTATGATCTACAGTGGCTGCTGGCATAGTGACAGCACAAGGAGTCTAGATGCCGAGCATCAAAATGTTACACTTGATTGAAGATTTGTTTCATAAAAATATTTTACCCTTTATTTGTGTACTTGTGTCTCTGAGCTCGCGCCCCTCCTCTTCCTCCTCGCCATAGAGATAGCACCCGGCGGCGACGGCGGTGGCGGTGGTGGTACCGATGGCGGCAGCGGGTGCCCCATAGACACCTCTCGCCCTGGCAAGGGGAAAAGGAGAGCTTGGAGCGGCGCTGCCCAGCGCGGCGCTGTCGTCGCTCCTCGCACGTCCTGGGCGGCGAGGGCGCGGCATGATGACGTCGGGGCCGCCGAGGGGGCGGGGCGCTCGGGAGGCGGGGCGGGCAGGTGACGGACGCCCCGGGCCCGGGTGAAGCTCCGGGCGAGCGGCGGGCCTAAGTGACGGACGGGCTGCCGTGGGAGGCGAGCGGACCAGAGGGGCCCCGTCCGCTTGGGCGAGTCGTCTGGTTTTTTTGTTTGTTTGTTTGTTTTTTCCCGGCTGCTCGCCGTTGGGAGCTCGTCCCGCCCGCCGGAGCCGGGGACTCGCGAGCGCGGCGTATAGGAAGGAGAAGGCGCGGCGTGCGTGCCGGCCGGCCGTGCTCGGTCGCCGGGGCAAGGCTTAGGCTAAGCGAGGAGAGGAGCAGGCCTGAACCTTCCCGGGCCTCGGGCCGGGACCCGAGGAGGATGAGCTGGCTCTTTCCCCTGGCCAAGAGCGCGTCGTCCTCCGCCGCCGCCGGGTCCCCCGCCGGCCTCACCAGTCTCCAGCAGCAGAAGCAGCGGCTGATCGAGTCGCTCCGGAACTCCCATGCCAGGTGACTGGTGGCTTTGACCCCGGGGAGGGGGAAAAGGAGGGCGGGCGGGAGGGCTGCCTGCAAACACCCAGGCCGCTCCGCCAGCTGCCTCCTGTTGATGGTCCTGCCTGGGGGTTCCCCCGAGTGTGTCCCTGGTGCCCCACCACGGCTCAGCTCGTCTCCTGACTTGCTCGCCTCTACCGACACCACGCAATCATCTCTCTTGATCTGTATTTAGTGTGCCTCGCTCTCACGCTAATATTTCCTTGTAGCATTGCTTTTGAATTGTTAACATGCTAACACTTGGCTAGAGACAGTTGGGAAGGATAATCCCCAAGTTTCACAAAGTGAAAAATCAAACTCTGGGAACACCAAAGGAAGGGAAGCCAGTGTTTTGATCAGTTAACTCTGCCGTGGTGGTGATAATCCTTTTGAGTTTGTAAATTAAAACTCACCCTGTTCTAATAACCTCTGACTTGCAACTGTTAAGAGTCTTGTTCACCTCTCATTTTCTTGACTTGGGCTCCACATTTAGTAATTGACATACATTGCCTGGATTAGTCGTTGTCTTTTGAGTTTGTTTATGTTATCGTAGTCAGAATAGAAATACAGGAATTCTGATTATTTCGACTTTTTTTTTTTCCTGTAAAATCATTTGCTGCAGCCTTTTATCTGTTAGATATATGTCCATGGCCGCTAAGGGGTTTCAAATATCAGAATTACCTTATGATATATGAGTTTTACAATTAATAGGTCCACAGTTTATGTATAGAGGCCTATGTGGTTAAACTCTAGCCTTTCAAAAACTTTGTCACATTATACACATTATAATATGTAATATGATTTTTAATGCGTTATATAATATATAGATACACATCCATGAGATAACTGAGTTATTGAACACACCATCAGGGGTTATTTTTATGTTTACACATCAGTTTTTTTTTTCCCCAAGCAAGTAAATTATAATCTCCAGTCATTCTAAATTTCCTCTGTAGACCAGGCTGTCCTTGAACTCAGAGATCTGCCTGCCTAGCCTCCCCCAAGTGCTGGGATTAAAGGTGTGTCCCACCATACAGGGTGCCTTTCTTCCTGTTCTTATCTCTACCTCTGTGTAGCATTCCTTCTACCCTGTAACAGGGACAGAACTCTCTAGAAAGAGTATTTTCTAAGAAAGGAGTGGCCTTTCCAGTTAGGGTTTCTTTTATCATCCTTGGGGAAAAGGAATTTTTGTTTCTGTGACTACTTTGAGAGGAAAAGATGGGACAAGAGGTAAGAAAACAGGAGACTACCTCTGGAAGCTTCAAGTCTTCTTTAGTTCAATGTACTCAGCACACTCAAGTGTCAATTTCTGACATTTCAGTCTTTCTCTGAATGTTTTGTTTTTGTTAACCTTCAAGAGCTACACTTTCAAGGTATTATAAAATAAGCTGACTGCCTTTTAAGAAACACGACAAAGGTTTTCCCCATAGAATGTCACCTTGGAAAACTGTTAGTGCTCCGACTGCAGAAATACTGGTGGAATCTTTTGTTAGCCTTTATTCTTCCCTGTTCATAAGGCTGGCGATTTTTTGTGGTTGGAAGTTGAGGTGGAGCTTTTGAGACATTAGAACTCTTACTGCTAAGGCTAGTAAATGAGGAAAGTGATCTGAAGTTTGTACTTTGGTCCCAAATAGAAGTAATAAAACTGTAATTGTTCATTGAAGGAGTTCTGGAGTTGGTTTAAGAGGATCAGTCAGTATCCTTAAACGGATGCACAAACTGTTTTGTGCACTAATCTTTGAACTAGAAAATTTGGACATATGACATTATCTACACATCTTTTAAGTTCTTGAGATTTTATTTAATTGAAATATTTCAAACTTCCAAATTAGATATGAATAATTCTAAACATTTAAGAATCTTGTAACTACTTTAACAAAGTCTTAACTTCCCTAAAATGTTAGGTGAATTTTATGGCTATTTTCTTTTATCAGTGTTGCCTGGCAGGAACAAGTGTGGAACTGTCCTAGTAGACAAAGTGTTTTACCAAAGCACAATGAATCTTATGAAAATGATAAGTGGAAGTTATATAGACTGGACTCAAGAACTAATCTTCTAAATAGCCGTAATCACACTGTTCAGTCTACCACTAAATCTTAGGAGTTTACTTCAGAAGACACTTGCTTTCCTGTCCAGGTCTATGTCCTCTGAATTCTTTAAAAAAAAAGAACACCTGTTTTTGTTCTGTTTCATAATCTGTAGGACACAGACTTAGTAGAGGTGATTTCAACCCAGGAGATGTAAATCAGTGATGATGGCCTCAATTCACACCCTCACCTCTTTGTCAGGAGGAAGACTCCTCCTCCTCTTCTTCTTCCTCTTCATCACTTCTTTTCCTTTTTTTGAACTCACAGGAGCCATCTGCTTCTGCTTCCACAGTGCTGGATTAAGGCTTAAGGTGCACATCACCATGCCAGAAGTAGGACTCTTGACTTCATCTTGGTAAATAGAAGTTGGAGGGAAAGTCCAGGTTTTCTCAATTATATAAAGAGCTGTCTGGGAAGAAAAACAAAGGGGAGGGAAAAGCACTTCTTGTGTTTTAGATATTATTGTGTTCATTTGGGTCATGATTGACGGCTGACAGTGTGATACAATAGAAGGACATTTTCCTGCCTGCTAAATTAATGAACTCTGGAGTGAGGTTCCGTTCCTCTGTCGTACTTAGTGTCTAAGCGTTAAGATGAATGGTTCCTCACTAGTAAAGTGACTTTCCCCTGCTTTTCAGTAACTTGTGTTTGTGATTATCCTCACTAACCCAGCTAATGCTTAGTTTCCAGAAGTGAGGCTGTTTAATAGAATTTCACCCCAGTTAGAAAATACTACAGATGGATAACAGTGATTGTTCTAACCAGATCTCTCTTTTCTAAGTAACTAACTAATAAAGAGGTTAGTTAACCTCTTTATTAATTTCTTTATCTCTAAAACAACCTAGAGCTCTGTTTCAAGTGGTAATTATTATTTACAATTAACTATGTAAATCTAAAGTTATACAAGTAATAAGCCATCTTTATTACCTTTACCTGGATCTTCCAGGTAAAAGGCTTCTGAATTCATTTTAATAATAATTATATAGTAATGAGTGATGTTTTATTTGCATATTTAGCAAGAGTCTTAAGTTGGTTGTGATGACATACATCAGAATTGTGTGTTTCTTTTGTATTGTTGTACAGCTAATAGACTCCCTACAAAAGAATCTTTGAGCTAAGAAGTTAGAAGATACAGACAGGTCATTAACTGCCCATACAAGCTTGGGTGACCTGTCATCTATATATGCCTTATGGCCATGCAACTGAAAGAATTGACTGCCTATCTCTTTCTGCTCCGCTCAACCAAGAAAGTCAGTTGATTTCCAGCTCCTCATTCTTAAAGGCAGAAAACAGTGAATATAAGCATTGTAGACCTGTATGGGGAGCACAAAGGAATAGAAGCTTTGTAATGAAACTGTCTTGGATTCTAGTTCTGGTTCTAATACATGCTAGCTGCATAATCTCTTGATAAAACTTTCAGTTCTTCCATTTTCCCATTTTCTGCCTGTAAAGCTAAGAACTATGATTCTTATGTGAAATCTGGGAGATGGGCAGGTGCTGGAGAGATTTAGGAGATGGAAGCCAGAGCCTTGAGCATGGGAGGCAAGTGCTCTTCCACTGAGTTACATCCCTAGCTCTCTCTCAGGTTTTTTGGTATTTGAATAATAGAAACATTAACTGGCTCATAGGCATATAACAAAGTACACTTCTTTTTTGCTCTCTCAGTATGCCTCAAACCATTGCTTCTTAATTTAGAGCAGTGGTTCTCAAGCTTCCTAATGCTGCAACTCTTTAATACAGTACTTCATGTTGTGGTGACCCCCAACTGTAAAATTTTTTCATTGCTACTTTATAACTAATTTTGCTACTGTGATGAATTGTATTTTGGGAAAGTGAGGTTTGCCAAAGGGGTCGTGACCCAGAGGTTGATAACTGCTGACCTCAGTGCTTCTGTCCAACTTATTGTTTATGCATCTTTCACAACCCTACCTGTAACTCGCTTGTCTTTGGCAGGCCTCCATCTGACTGTCCATGTGAAAACAAGTCTGTTCAGGAGAGTTAGCTAACTCATAAGTGAAGTGTCCTATTTAGAAGGGTTTAGTGAAGTCCAGGGATGCTACAGAATCTCCAGTATTGTTTAACAAACAGTAAATATTCTATAAATGGCCATTGATATTTTATTCTTGCTCTTAAAAGTAATAGTGTCTGTGTAGGTCAGCCTTTCATCACTGAGAAAGCACCTGAGATAACAGACCTATAAAGTGGAAAGGTGTGTAGGAGGTAGCTCGGTTGATAACAGACTTGAGTTCAATCCCTGGGACCCCTATAAAAAGGCTGGGCACAGTGATTCCTACATAATCCCAGTGTTAGAGATGTGAGGTCAGGAGGATCCCTGTGCTTCACTGGCTAGTCAGCCTCTTCAGGAAGCTCGTATGCTGCTATCCTGAGGAACATTATCAGAGGTTCCCTTTCATATACATGTACATACTGTGTACCCAAACACCACAAAAAGAGGGAAGACTGATTTGATTTTACAAATTCAGAGGCTTAAGCAGTGGTTGGCACTCTTGCTGAGCTTTTCAGCCTATGGCTAGGCAATACATCATGGAAGTAGTGCGTGGCAGAGGAAATTACTTGTGCTATGACAGCTAGGTGGCAGAGAGAGAGGAGAGACCAGAGCCCAAATATCTCCTTCAAGTGCATGCTTGGTTACCTAGCTTCCTTCTGTTAGGCCCTCCTCCTAAAGGTTCTCTTACCTCCCAAGCAGTACCACAGCTATGATCCAAGCTTTCAGCTCATGGACCTTTGGCAAACATTCAAGATCTAAACAAAACTATAGCAGTCTTTAAAACATCCTTTGGTACTCTGTTTTGCTACCATTCCATGGATCACAGAGTTCTTTTTGATTATTCAAACCTTTACCCATATAGCTTCCCTGAGAGTAAGCTTTTG